GGTGAAGGATTTGTGAGTATAAAGCATATTCAACAACATGATGGAATCTGATTCAGAATGATGGCACCCACACGAGGTGGGAAAATAGGGTTTTTCTTTTTATTTTTGTATGCTTAAAGTAGGTTGAATTGGATTTGAATAGATGATTCAAACAACATTTTGAGCATTCATTAAAGAAATATCCATTCATATTATTATTCCTGAGATTTGTTTTGTTCGCATTCATCGCGGATTTTGCAAGTCTTTCGGTGGGTATTTTGGTCTTTTATTTAAATATCAGCCTAGAATAACGTCGATTGTCGTAAATTGACTTCAATCCGTGCCATTGATACGATACCAAAACGAAAATCATATTTGTATGGATTTTTCTACTTTCATTTAAAATCGAATGAATGATGAATGAAATGATTTTTAAATTTCAAGCCGCTTAAGATGTACTCTTTACAGTCACAAAATGTCTGTGGTACCGTGTATTCAAGTGGCAAAGAGGAGAGCGAGAGAGAAAAGGCAGGATGTTGAATCGAATGAATCGTTTGCCCAAATGAACGAATAAATCATGTTGAATTCTAGTCATTTATCTCAATAGTATACGGGAAGGGAGAGAGACCTTAGAATGAGAACCATTTTATAGTCTTTATCAACTTTGAATAATTGATTGGTTTGACAGATTTGTGTTCTTTTGAATTTCTATCCAATGAATTAATGCGATCATCATGAATTTTATTGATTTTCATTTTGTTTGAATTCCATCCATCAATTTATTGGCTGTTGGGTGCGTAACAGCAACAAAAGTCTCATTTAAAAGAAAAAATATCACTTCCGTTTTAATACCGCTCACTTTCCGTAGCTGGTTTGTGAGATGCGACAATTTCGCACAGCCCCCATCTCCGGTTGTCCAATGTTCTGCGTGTATGTGTATAAAGTACAGTACTTGTTGTAAACAAGGGTACTCACTCGCTTCATTTCGCTCACATCCTTGTTTCTTTTAGTTTGTTTTCGACAAACAACGTTTTTACTATATGAAATGTAGGCACGATTTACCACTGCCCTTAAGCTTTCATAATTTTTTTAATCAATTTTAAATGATTTTAATCGTGCCAAACTAAGTCGACTAAAACCGACTAGAAATGATTGAAGAAAACAAAAATTGATTAAAATCAAATGAATTTGAAGAGACTTAACAAAACCACAAGCCAACATTTCAAGTAGTGCAAAAAAAAAACAATTTTCATGACTAAGTATAATAAAAACTGGAAAATTATTATTTAAAAGAAATATATATTTATACCTAACATTATTGTACCATATAACTATGCTTCAATAAAAGCCATCATTTGGAAAACGTCGAACCTAAACCATCGTCCATTTTATATACACACTTAATGTAACATTACCTTTTTGTGACCAAATCATTTGAATGAACTCATTTCATTTTGCTCGCATGTTTTGTACGTGTTAGGTGACAATTTACTCGAAGCACGATTCTCTGAATTTGATCTGAAAACGTGAAATGTAAAAACACTCATTTGCTGTGAGAAAAACTATGGTTCGTTGGGCTTGAAAAATGTCATGCAGTAAAAAGTTTCCCAAAAACCTTAAATAAATTGAATGGGAATTGCATGTAGCATAAATGCATAAAAAACAATAAATCGCTTTCCAAAATAGTTGATTTAATGGCGATTTTACTTACCGAAAATTGCCTAGAATGGAAATTTATTAGTTATATATTTGTTTTCGAAAGAGACCATTGTTACTGTTCTTGCAGTTACCAAGTTTTCAACCAACGCAAATCTACCATATCTCAATTTGAGGCCATTTTCTTTATTGCTTTAGCTCGAATAGAAAGTTTGTGGCTTCGATGATTAATGATTAGAGAATGATTGCTTCATCTGAATAGTAAACATATATTTTATTATATCGTTAGCCCCATTCGTTTTTCGCCGAAAAAAAAATTACGCAAAATCCATTTAGAGATTGGATAATCGCATCTTGTTTTCATCAAAATTGCTAGTCACACTGCATAAAACCGATGTATTCATCACCGCCAACAACAAAAATCTATATAAGATACTGTGTGTACGATAACAATAATTTCTAACGTTGATTTTTCTTTTGTTTTCCAGGTAAGCGTCTGCCGCCAAATTGCCGACTGACCAACGAACGATAACGTAAGATTATTGTTTAATTGAGAAATCACATGCCAAAAATGATGATGATGATGATGATAAAACAAGCATATGAATTAGGAAAAATGTCTAGTAATTTTTGTCTGGCAAAATGAACATTATCCATGATTTGATTTTGTTCGGGAGGGTAATTTTTTAGTAAACCAATTTTGGTAGTTATTTTCTGTAATCTGTACAATCATGTCTAGCATATTAAATTTTCCAGACGCAACAACATTCAAATATCCATCAGCGAATGTGTGTGTGTGTATTTCCGCAAATGGTTTCATACCAATTTGAATATATATTAAGATTTGCTGAAAAATGAACGATCCGTATAACTAGATGTATGCAATTTTAGTTTGATATTTATTAGCCTTTTGGTTTGAATAAAATTAATCGAAGAACGAAACGCGTTTAAATATTGAAGAGCGTCCATCACATGTGTAAATATTGATATTTGAATAAATTTGTATTCATGAATTTATCGCGTGCGCATATGCGTGCATGTCTGTGTGAGAAATGTTCAATTGATTTTTTTGTATTTCTCTCCGCTCCGCCACATGATGTGCATTAATTTATTGGATTACATGCTAATTTAGTATTAATTACATATTAAATGTTCTCGGTTCTCTTTATTCGCCGTGTTTGTATGGCATTTATTCATTTTCCATATAGAAATCTCTGCACTAGATTCATTCACAATCGAATTTTATTCACATCAAAATGTAATCACTTGTTTCGAAACAATCACTCTGTTTAAATGTATGCCATTAATAAAGTATTCGAATTTCTTGCGTGAATGCGCCACCATTCATCCTCAAAGAGGGAAGAAATGAAATCTTATTTGCGCTTTTATATTGCTAAATGCATCGAATTCGAAGCCAATTTCGGTTGGTGCACACCTTTTTGGGTTCTGTTAAGCGCGTTTTATTTTTTCAACTAAATTTCACGGTGTGCATTTTTTCTTATCTATCACAGATTTTACATCTAAATTAACGAATATTTATTCTAATTTGTTCAAGCTTACGAAAATATTTCCTTCCTTCTTCTATGCCTATGAAATTGGTTGTGGCTGGCATTATCGCAAAATTTATACGAAATGACATCTTCGAATTCATACAACTCTAGAACCATATGATTATTACACAGGAACACTAACTTCGATTCGGTGTGTCTACTCTCTCAAAATTTACAATACATACGTATACACAGATCCGATGTCAGTAAAGGAGCGAGTACGACGTTTCCCCCTTTGCTAAGCGAAATTAATCCGATATACGGCGCTGATGTAAATGTCACTCTATGTCATTCCACAATGATACATTTTTTGGCTTGACAATATATAAGTTCTTCATTCAACATGCATAATTTTCGAACGGTCGAGTAAAAAAAAGAAACATATCATAAAATATTCTTCTTACGTTTATCATAAAAATTCTCTATATTTTAAATTTATTTGTTTAAAAATAACAATAATTTCATTTTTTTTCATAGATTGAACAAGAATCTAATGTAAAAAGTAATACCAATGCGACACCCACCGTTAAAATAGAAAAGGAAACTTATTTGGAATTGTAACATTTTGGTCCGCCATAACAGCATCTTCGTTTTGCTTCTCTGTGATTGGTCAAGTAAAACGAAGATGCTGTCATGGCGGACCAAAATGCTACAATGGAGACCAACTAAGTTTCCTTTTGCATTTTTACGGTAGGTGTCGCATTGTCATTACTATTTACATTGGATTCTTATTTAATCGATGAAACATTTTTTGTTGAAATTATTGTCATTTATAAACAAATTAATTTTTTTATAAAAAAAAAATTTTAATAAATTTTTTAATGAAAAATGTTAGAAAAATATTTTATGACATATTTTTTTCAACGATTCAATAATTATGAATGTGTATGCATTTTAAATGAAGAGCTTATATATTGTCAAGCCAAAAAAGTATTATTGTGAAATGACAGAGTGACATTTACATCAGCGCCGTATATCGAATTAATTTCGCTTGGCATAGGGGGAAATATTTTGACAGATAGTACTCGATCCTTTTTTTGACACCAAATATACTTAAATGTAATACTGGGTCCTTATGTTTATCTATTGACATTTAAATGATATTTTCTTCAGAATTTTTTTCAATTAAAACATATTGACAATTTCAGAAAAATGTTAATTAAAATGTGCGCCAGAATAACTTGCGCTCACTTGTTTTCTTGTTCTGAGAAGAAGTAACGAGTTTATTGTACCGAATTCTGGTTTAACCAAAACAAATGTGTGTCACAAGACAAAATTTAAGTGCCAATATATATGACGGTAATTAGAATTATAAACCATTTCCATATAGATAAATTAAAATTGGTACGTGCCGTAAACAATTATTAAATAATTAAAGTGAAATATTTATTTCTTATTGATATTAAATTTTTGATACATTTTAATTATTGATGATAGATTTTAATTATTTCACTTTAGCTATGTAAAACAGATCGAGAGAAATTTCACCAAAAACTGTCTCTTTTCTTTCTAATTGAACTTTGGCACACTAAACAACATGAATCTCAATGTCTTTTCTCCGTGAATTCAAATGAATGAAAACACACTATCAATTAATTGAGTAGAATTTGTCGGCAAAAAAATGTCTCTGTTTTTCGCCCGCAAAATGTCCAACATTTTGCATTAAAAAATTTTTCGGTTTGTTTGTGACATGCATACCTCAAGTAAGAATCTAAAGATGAGAAATATTTTTAAAATTCTTACTCGTTTGTACAAACGCTACTTCCAAACAAATTGTCACTGTTTTTAATTAGTAAATAATTGAAATATGCAGACCAAAACAAGAAAACTTGGTGTATAAAAGGCACTGAATTGAACATCTTATACATCAGTTGTGTTTTAACAGTTAACAAAGATGAAAGCATTGGTCTCCTTGAGTTTGGTAAAAAAAACCGTATAAAGTAAATAACCTTGCACTTGACTCAATACTAGTAACTATTTACAGATTGCTCTAGCGTCTTCGGCCTACCCAATGAGTAAAACGAATGGTATGGTTGGTTTTGCAAAAGCGGGTGGTACTACCGGCGGTTCGAGGGGCAGCGTCGTACAGATCAATACATTGACGGATCTTTACAAAAACATTGGTGGCAGCGCCCCAAAAGTGTTGGTCATCAACAAAGATATCAAAGCACCCAAAATAACCAAAGTTTATATGGGATCAAATAAATCTATTATTGGCTCATTCGGACAGCGTACACTGTTTAATATCCATTTGCGAGCTTCACCTTCAACACAAAATGTTATTTTTCAAAATTTAATTTTCAAACATTCGGCACAATTCCAAGGTAATGATGACATCCAGTTATATCTGAACTTTGGCAAAAATTATTGGATCGATCATTGCACATTTGATGGGCATCCGTATTCCGACAAAAGTGTTCCACTCGATAAGCTCATATATATTGGTGATAAGGCTGATTATGCCACCATAAGCAATTGTTTTTTCGCCAACCATCACTACGGACTGTTGCTGGGACATCCAGCCGATGATAATAATAAACAATTTAATGGTTTTCCTCATTTAACTATTTGTCATAATCGATTCGAAAACTTGAAGAGTAGAGCTCCTGGTCTGATGCGTTATGGTTTCTTTCACGTATACAATAATTATATCAATCATTTCCAAAATGGGTTCTCGGTTGCGCAGAATGCCCAAGTCTATTCGGAGAGTAATTATTTTGGCGCTGCTCTAACTGTTTCCAAACATGTATTGACCGATTATAGTAATGGAACGTGTACATTTGCCGATCCCACCTTGGCTGCATCCCTTCTTTCGGTAAAATCACAAAAGAGCAAATGGTTTCCAAGGATGTACTATAGCTACAAGGCAACTTCAGATAAAGAAGCTGTAAACTTTACGACAAAGAACGCAGGGTCTCAATCTAAGGCACTTGTATTCGGTAGTTGAATAACATCACTTTGCAACACGGATTTATTCTTTACATATTTTGACTTTGATCATAATCTGTAAAATTGATTTTTGATTGTTTGAAAGTTTAAAAATAAAATTTTATCAAATAAAAAACTGTGTCGATGTTAATGCATTACCATGAACTAAATTGCACCATTGTGTCAGTCCATGATGGAACATTATGACCGACCTCAATAACCATGGTAAACCATGCTAAACTATGATAGTCTTACCATCTTGGTTACTCTTTAGATTGACTAAAATCAAAATTGTCAAAATTATTAGTTCGCGAGCGAAGTGAGCATAGTACAGTATATTTATAAAATTGATCATATTTTCAGCATCGCGATGTAATGCGATTTTTTTAAATTAACATTTATGAATGTAGACATAAATGTGATTGGTGCGTTGTTTTTATATGCATGAAAACTGCCAGTCTCGGTGAAAAATTGGCTCGATAAATTTACAAATTCAATCAGCAATTTTATTTAATAAATCGATTTTAATGGGCCCATCGATGTTTCCCTTTTTTCTCTCAACAAATTTCGCTTCGCTTCGGGGATTTTCATCAATATGCTTTTTTTCCACCGTTACGGCGTGAGTGTGTTTTTATTTTGAAGAGTTTTACAAAGTAATTACACAATCAATCATAATTCCATCGTTCAATGTTTTTGTTGATCGATGAATTGCAACAAATGACGCATCATTCAAATGCTTCAAGCATCAACCAACTAGCACTACCGCTGTCACCACCTAGCTGATACAAAAGCTCTTTAAATATGAAAATCCCACATAACAAGCTGTTACATCAAAACGGAATCGAATGATGTTGATATGTTCCATCATTTCTAGTTCAAAATGTGATTTCCTCCCCTCCCCCCCCCCTCTCTCTCTCTCTCTTTCGTTATTCATTAATTCAATATATGACTTGATATGTGTATGTATGTGTGACATTCAATAAATGCAAAACAGTAATAAATAATCCAAAAGAAAAAACAGGCGCCCAATGTTCATTACTTGAAATGTAACATATTCATGTTGTTGCATGTTGTTTTCATTCGCTTTTCCATATATCTATCTTGTGAGTCCGTCTCAATAAAACTCAATGATCATCATGTGCAAAAGTGTATGGCTTAAATGTTTGAAATGGGAATTTCCAAAGCATCAAAATAAAATGTGCATAAAATACTTTACATGTATTCCACTCACATGAATTGCAAATAACACGTACGTTCATACTCTTGGTCTTTGCCACTTTTCTAAATTGATAATAATTGGGAATGGCAATGAAAATGGCACACTTTTCCAGATGACAAAATGTGAAATAAATTCGAAAATATTTTAATTTTACATTTTCAATGTAATGACATAACATCAGTTTACATCGTTTGTATTACACATGGGACATGCCGGCAACGACATCATGAAGGTTGTAATAAAATCCAAATGTGAATCCATGGCTTTGATGCTCGCTTAGCGTTGTGTGTATGTTGCCTGCAACTGTTTGGTAAGCGGCCACACATTCGATAGTAATTTCAATGCAAAACTGGCGTGCATCACATTTGCAAATACGATTGATTCGTAAATAAAGCAATTGCAGGAAATCTTATAATTTGAATGCATGCTATAACAATCCAATATATGGACGGATAAAATTGACATACAATATCGTTCTGGTTTCGGTTAATATATGTGCATATCCGCACCGATGACGTTTTAAATCAACCGATTCGATCAAAACAACTAAATTGTCAATATAAATACGATGACGAAAGCATTTTTGGTCTTTTTTCTTTGTTGGCAAAATTACCGATTCCGTAAATTAATCTTTTACACCACTGACGGCTATTCATTTGAATTTTAAGGGCACATAATTGAATTTATTCGCTCTTTATGTTCAGGGATAGCCAAACCAAACAATTGAATCATATTACATTTTATTGAGGCTATAGGGATCATTGATTGGGCTATGAACCTCAGAACTGGGCAACTCTAGACAGATAGAGTTATCTGATATCAATGTATTTATATCGGGAAGAGTGCCAGCATTTTCGAGTTTCACTGTATCATCTGGTATCCAATGGAATGTCTGACTTCTACATCGTATGCATAGATTACAAATTTTATTTATAATTGAATTTACAGAGTGTGGATAAAAGGCCGAACTTAAGCCATGCAACACTTGAAAGCCACAACATGTATAATTACTACCCTTCGTTGCATTTCAAATATGTTATTCGATAGTTTTGTTCAACATTTTGTAATTCATTCCATTTATGCGTTCAACTGGATTTGCGTATTCTTTGAATTGAATTTATATTAATATTTATATGGTCTAGTTTCAAATTGAATCGGATACATTGTAGAAAAATGGGTAAATTTTCTATATGAATTTGAAAATATACACTTTTGGAGATGGAGTGAAAAGATCCAAATGAAAATAAAATAAAGAAAAAAACATAAAAAACAAATCTTACTCACCCACACATGCACAAATGCATCTACGCACATTGAATATATGTTGCAAAATAGCATTCCAAATGCATCATGCATGATTTGCATTCACTCCAGTCAAGTATGCAGCAAGAATTTCCGTATTTGTTTATGAATGAATGTGTGTTTTAGCACCATATATACGAATCATTTTCGACCATCCAAATTCATTCTGTTACGCTCCGTTGTTATATTTAATTAATGCACCCAATGACAGGATGTGAAGACTTCAAGTCTCATTGAGCCGACGGTGGCGCCACCAATTTCAAAGGGGACGTCAATGTAATTTAACAACTCAAATCGAAACTAAACAGCGCGCCAATTTTAAAATTTGCTGTCATTTCCTCCCATTGAATGCACCCAATTTGAACACCGCAAAATGTATACACACAAATACTAAAGAATATGCGGTGTTCTCATAGATGCATTAAATAAACTTAAAATATGATTAAAACCGCCAAAACAAAGCAATTTCAAACCGCATTGACCAGCTCTCGCATGCTCCTTCTCTCTCTATCTATATCTATCTCTATCTCTCTCTCTCTCCATCTCGATCGATGTGTTTGTAACACTTCATTATTATAACGAAACCATATCTTCTTGATGAATTCAGTGTGAATTTCGTACAACATGTCCGTATTAAATCGAATATTGTTCAGTAGACCAGAACAATGTATATTCAATTTTATGCAAAACCGTATATTTTGTTTACATTAGTTTCGGGTTAAGCACTTAAAACGGGTTTAGCTTTCGTATGCATTCAACGTTGGTGCATTTGTAAGATGACTTATCGTTGCAATGATGACCCAAACTCTGGAAACCATGGATAGAAAGTTATGTACTATAATTGGGGTAAACATTGGCATATATATATATGAAATGATGGTTGTGTTTGCATGCTCATCTGCACTTACAGATGTCAACATGAATGGCTTTCCATTTGTTACAGCAAACCATAATAATTGTCGTTGTAACAACAAACAATTTCGGAAAATTTTGGTCTCACAAATAATTTATTTATTGTTTGAGCAGCGACAAATGAGGACAACGATGAAAATGATGACAATCATAACATCAACACATATTGCAAATACAAAATTCAATTCATCTTTGTGCACGGTGGTACGAATTTCACCTCAATCCGCAAAAGTTTGGTCGTCATATTTCAAATTTAAAAAAAACATAACCACAACACAAAAAATCCCCAACTCGTCCAAGAGTCAAAAGCTTTCTTTGTTAACAAAAATTTAAATTACATTCCATTTTTGTATGAGATTGTTTTTAATGCATTTTATAAGTGCTTCAGTGATGGACTTTTGGCTATCAAAAAGTTTTACGTTGTTGCAGCACCCCTGAAAGGAAAACTCTATTGCAATATTCGAGAAATGCTATGAATATTTAATTAAGAAATGGGATGCACAAGATTGGCTACCGTTTGAAGAGGACAATTGTTTAAAAATATAAACAAAAGAAGGAACAAAACAGCAAAAAAATCATATAATTATATAAAATCATCGAAAAACTAATGAAATAATTAATTTTTTTATTTCATTTGCTTCAAATTGAACTTACTGAAGTGCAGCCTAATGGCTTGAAAGTAGATTGAAAAACGAGATCAACACTATTACAATTCAAACCAAAAACTGGTCAAAATTTTCAATTTATAGAATTGCGAAGCGAAGAGAAAAAACACACCAAATTGAAAGTTTTGTTTGCCAACACACACCAATACCATACCATTCCACAGCTACAATAGCTTTCATATGCTCTCACAAACTTTTATAATTGATTTAATTGCATATTTCCATTTGCATAGCCAAACACAGCACTGTTCCAGATCATCAAACTGGATGTGGACTTTTATATGAAAAAAGCGAGAAGCGAGAGAGGAGAAGTGTGTGGGTGGAGGAAAATTAAAAGAAAAAAAACGAAAAGAAAACGTTGTGCACAAAATGTGGCAGTAAAAGGACTTTTTGCACATCTACAAGTTACCTGTCTTATTCAGGCAACAGTTGAAGTGATATTGAAATGCAAAAGTCATACTTCCGGCATTCGATAAGATGACAACTAACTTCTCATTCGCATCGACATCGCAAACACAGAGAGAAATGTTCAAAGAATGTGACTTCGACCACCATTGATTGCAGCCAAAACATGAATGCAGTTGACAACTTCTGTTCATAGTCAAAATGTCAATAAGGTTCATGTTTTATGTGCTTTTTGTTCTCAACTCGAATATTTTAGCTCTCGTATTTTCATTCGATGTTCACAAATTATAATCACATTTCAAAGGTTTGTCTCTTTTCTCATTCTACACGTAGTCCAATTTTCGTTCGTCTTTTGTGTATAGTAAGGTACATTCGTAAGTTGACACAATTGAATTTTACACATTCTAACCAGAATAAATGAAGATTGAATACTGATGGAACATTTTAAACCCATTAAAGCTAACAGATTTATCGCATTTTTATATTTTTCTCTCGTTTTCAAACTTCAACTGTATATCAGTCACAGTCTAATGCTACTAAAATAGTGTTGCTATTTTCTCAATTTGTGCTGAACTTCAATGAAAATTTGTCACTAATCTCTTTCCCTCTCTGTATCTTCATATTATCGAATTG